CTTTTTAGAAGCCCGACATGGGTACGGAAAACATGGGCACGATGCCCAGCAAATGGTGTCCGAAACCGACAATGGCTGCTGTTGGGCAACCGGCCGTCCGTCTCAAACGGACTACTTTCGCCGGGACGCCGACAGATCGTCCTGTGAAAAAAAACAAGAACTGCTGTCAGCCTATGTGCCCATTCTTGCCGTACCCATCTTGATCGTCCCGAACCTCCTCCTCCTCCTCCTCCTCCACCTCCTCCTCCTCCTCCTCCCCCACCTCTTTTCGGTGCAAGGGGTCCAGGGCCGCGGTCGCCTCCTCCTCCTTCTCCTCCCCCTCCTCCTCTCTCTCCTCCTCCTTCTCCTCCTTCTCCTCCTCCTCCTCTCCTCCTCCTCCTCCTCCTCCTCCTCCTCCTCCTCCTTTCTTCCTCCTCTTCCTTCCTCCTCCTCCTCCTCCTCCTCCTCCTCCTCCTCCTCCTCCTCCTCCTCCTCCTCCTCCTCCTCCCCCTCCTCAGTGCGGTGCAGCACGCACCTAGGCCGCGGTCGACGCCGGGCAGGCCGGCGCCGTCGGGCGCTCCTCGAGGTAGTGCTCGATCTTGCGGCACCAGTCCTCCACGAGGGCCTGCCGACCCCACCGCCTCCCCACCAGCTCCGCGCGCTGCTCTCCTGCCTCTTAGTGCTATGTATCCTCCTCCCCCTCCTCCTCCTCCTCCTCCTCCTCCTCCTCCACCTCCTCCTCCTCCTCCTCCCCCTCCTCCTCCTCCTCCTCCTCCTCCTCCTCCTCCTCCGTGAAAACGGCGAAGGACAGGCCGCAGAGGCAAGGCTACAAAAAGCATCCTAGATGAAGGCGCGTGTCCTTACTAGGCGAGTTGACTTTGCCATCTCTTTGTTGGTTTGGTTAGGGCTTCGTGCCTATGAACAAAGCGCGGGGGTGTCCTTATATGTGTGTTCCGTATGTTTGTTCTGACTGTCTGTGCCTATGTTGGTTTGCATTGTATTGTGTTGGAGTGTATTGCATTGTATTGTATTGTAGGATTGGATTGGTTTGTGTCGTATTCAGTGTAGCGTGATGTTATACATGGTAGTTTAAACGATTAAGTTTGTAGTGCAATGGATTGTTGTGTAGTGGGTTTTAATGTATTACAATATAGTGTCGTGCTTTGTTTTGGATTGTAGAACATTCGATTGTGTGCCTGTATGCATGTACGTATGTGTGTGTGCATGCATGTACGTGCGTACGTATGGTTGTGCATGCATGCATGTGTGTACGTATGCATGCATGTATGTATGTATGCATGCATGTGTGTAAACATGTTTATGTAACTGTGTACGTGTAGGTATCGTTGTGTGCATAGCAATACGTATGTACACATATAGGTGTGTGCATAGGCATGTGTGTGCGTATGTAAGCGTGTATGTATGTACGCATGCATGTATGCGAGCATGCATGCGTGGACGTATGTCTGTGAGCAAGTGTGTATGCGTGTATGTATGGCTGTACGTATGTATGTGTTCATGTATGCATGCAGGTATGCATGCACGTTGTACGTACATATGCATGTATATATCTATACTAGAACCACGCGCGCGCTTCGCGCGCGCTTAGGTTCTGTCGAGTCACAGACCCAGGAATCGTTGTGAGAAGAACTTGGTGACGCGAAGCGTCGTGGGGGCGTCCTTGGACGTCTGGGGTCTCCTGGGGCCTCTTGAGGGGCCTCCTGGGGGCCTCCTGGCGGCCTCTTGGGGCGGAAGGCTCGAGCTTGCGGTTCGTGGTCCCCCTCTGGGCCCCCTCTTGGGCCCGTCTTGGGGCCCTCTTGGGCCATCTTGGGCGCCTCTTGGGCCGTCTTGGGGCCCTCTTGGGCTGTCCTGGGGCCCTCTTGGAAGCTTCTTGGGCCGTCTTGGGGCGGTCTTGGGCGCCTCTTGGGCCGTCCTGTAACGTCGGAAAGCCCAAAAGACAACTTTGTGAAAAATGTACGTTTTACGAAGGGAATGGGCCAATTTTTGCGTCTAGGGGCCCTCTTGGGACGCATGTTGGAGGCTTCTTGGGGCCTCTTGGGGGCGTCCTTGGACGTTTGGAGGCCATCTTCAGCATCTCGGAGCCCTCTTGGAGGCCTCTTGGAAGTTTCTTGGGCCGTCTTGGGCGCTCCTGGGGCCGTCTTGTCTGACCGGGGAGGCCTCCGGCAAGCCCCGACGAGCCTCCGGGCCCCCCGGAGCCCACATTTGCGGTCGAGGTCCCGGCCCCGGGCCCCCGGACCCAGTGCGCCGTTATATGTACATAACTATATATATATATATATATATATATATATATATATACATATATGTGTATATATATATATATATATATAAAATCGGTGCATGCATGTGCGTGTGTATGCTATGCTTGTATGCATGCATGCACGCATGACTAAATGAATGCATGCATACATGCGTGCGTGCATGCATGCATAGGCACTGCGCTGAAACAAAAACCCAGAAGCCTGTGCAAAACGCCCAGGCGCGCAGAAGCCTCAGAAAACTCTGCGGAGCGGTCAGGCGCTCAGGCGCTCAGAAGCCTCTGCAGAGCGCTCAGGCGCTCAGAAACCTCTGCAGAGCGCTCAGGCGCTCTGAAGCCTCAGAAGCCTTTGCAGAACGCTCACGCGTTTCTGAAGGCTTGTTGTAACCGTTCTGGTTAAACCAGCCCCGTCTGGGAAGTGGGCCGCTCTGGTTGTAAAGCGGGCTGCTCTGGTTGCACAATGGTCTTTCTCAAAGGAAACCATAAAATTCGATCCTTTGCTGGTGGTAAAGTGACCTTTCTCGGTCGCAAAGTGTCGTTCGGGTTGTAAAGAGACCGAATGCCGGGTTTCCCCCATGGTGGTGTGGTCCTCCCCTCTCGCTCGGAACATCCCCTATCCCCAATCTCGGGGAGGCACCAGGAACCTCCTCGCTGGAGCTGGCCCCCCTGGTGGTGGTGGTGGTCACTTCTCCTTCTCCCGACTCCGGGTGGGGGGCTGCGGGGACACGGATGAACACTGCCGCGCGCAAGCGCCCTCGAGAGGTTGCCGCGGGTGTGGCGCCGAGGCGCCCTGGCTTCTGTGAGGGAGCAGGCCGCGCGGCGCGCTCCTTCGCGGCGCGCCACGAGATCCGGATTGCGGCCGCCGTGCTCGGTTGACGCATCGCTTACACATGATGTCAGTGTGCGGGCGCCTGGGGACGCACCTGCCTCTGCAGACCCCAGAGCCATCAGTCCGAGCCCGAGGAGGCGGAACACGAGGAATGGGAAGAGAAGGAGGAGGAGGAGAAAGAGGAGAAGACGGAGGAGCAGGAGGAGGAATTGGAAGGAGGAGGACGAGGTAACACATACTCGAAACGAGTTGCTGCGATCCACTCGCAGGGGCCAGAGATAACAGCAAAGAAAGGCACCATTGACGCTCTAACCACCTTCCTGGCGCCAGATACACTCTTTTGAACATGAAAGCGACACCCCCGAGCCCAAGACGGCGCCAAGTCGCACCTCAAACTCATATGGGTGCGTTTTGTTATTATGAGGGCCGCCTTCGAAATCAATCATCACAGCATCATATTTTTTATGATCATGATCACCCTCCGATCTGCGCTAGCAATCCCAACGCCCAAGAAGATCAGCTCAGAAAAAAAAACATAGGCACCCTGGGGAGGCGAGGGGAGAGGAACATAAGGGAGCGTCATGGGAAATACTTGCTTGATGGCGTCAAAGTTGCCCTGAATGTCTCAAAGCCTGCTTGGGGTTGCGCCAAGGAGTGGCCCATCGATGTCGCATTTCGAAGGAAGCGGAAGGGGGGATCTGACGGGAACTCATACCCCCACCGCAACAAGTTTTCAACCCGCTACCTGGCATGCGCTCTGCGTCTCTGGACACGGAGTGTGCTCGACAAGGGCCCCAGCAACAAAGCCACGCCTCGTGATTAGCAGCTCTATCTAGGCAAGGGCGCCAGCGGCCAACGTGGACACCGATCGTCGGCTTATCCACAACAAGGGCCGAGCCGAACCTCACCTCAAGCAGGCCACGCACCCGCGCCCACAAAGAGAGCGACGGAGGGCATGGGAAAAGCGACAGGGTACCCTTGCTCCCAACTCTCGCTCCCCTCCTCCTCCTCCTCCTCCTCCTCCTCCTCCTCCTCCTCCTCCTCCTCCTTCTCCCGCCGTGAATTCCTGCACCCTGGAAGCTCGTAAAGGATCCCTGCAGCCGCTGGGGGCTCCTCTAGACCTTTTCACCCTCCACAGCCCTTCTTCTGCTCCCTCCATCCATCATTCCTCCTTCTCTCCTTCTCCACCTTCCTCCTCCTCCTCCTCCTCCTCCTCCTCTCCTCCTCCTCCGCCTCCGCCTCCTCCTCCTCCTCCTCCTCCTCCTCCTCCTCCTCCTCCTCCTCCTCCTCCTCCTCCTCCTCATCATCATCATCATCATCATCATCATCATCATCAACATTATCATCAGCATCATCAGCAGCAGCATCATCCCCTTAATTTCTCCTCCACCCTCCTCCACCTCCTCCTCATCGTTTCCTTCCCCGCCCTCTGGCAACCTCCGGACACCTCACAGCAACGCATGGCCCCCGGCGCCCCCCCCAGCTCAGAAAGCCCGTTCCTCCTTCTCATCCAGCCCACTTGACGTGTTGCAGTCTTGCCTGTGCCCTCCTCCCGAGTACCATGCAGTGGAGGCCAGTCCACAGGAAACCTTCCACAAGAAACCCAACCCTGAGACCCCAGGACGTCCATTGAGTGTTGGTGTGGGAACGTCACGCCTTCCATCGCAAAACCATCGAAACCCAAGAAACCCAGGGCACCCTGGAGGCGAGCAGGGTGGTTCTTGGCATGGGTCTCCATCATGACCTGGCGATTCTGACAAGATCTTTTTGTCGCGCAGCCTCTCCACGCCTTCCCTAGAGCTTCGAGCATCGCAGGCACAGCGTCAAGCATGAGCCGCCGTTCGACGGCAACCCCTCGTTCTCCTTCCCTCCTCCTCCCCCTCCTCCTTCACGCAGAGCTGCCTGCCTGCTTCCCTAGTGGTCCTTGGCAGCGTCGCTGGTCATCGGCCAGCGCTGGATCTCCAATTCTGCCGCGTCTGGGCAGGGCAAGTCGATGCCGCTGGACAGGGACTTGATGCCTGAGGAAGGAGGCGGCGGAGGGAGGACGTTTCATGTGGTTTCCGGAGACTCAGGGGAACCGCTCTGAGGGCTTTGTTGAGTGTGTTCGGGGATGCATGCTCGGGGTGGGGGGTCCTGGGGGATCCGACTGCTTTCGGACGTTTCGGGAAATCTCGAAAATCTTCGGTGGTTCTGAAGGCCGCTCGAAGCCCACGGGGAGAGAGAGGAGGAGAAGCAGCACCGGGAGGCGGAAGAGGAGGAGCGGGCCAGGAAGGGTGGATGGGGGCGGGTGAGGAAGAGACAGCTGGAGGCGCGGGGAGAGGAGAAGGGGAGAGGAGGAGGAGGGAGAAGGTGGAGGAGAAGGGGAGAGGAGGAGGAGGAGGAGGAGGAGGAGAAGGGGAGAGGAGGGGGAGGGAGCCGAGGAGCGGTGAGGGAGGCTTGGGGCGGGCTGTGCAGTCGATTGGGCGATGCGTCGCCTCGGTACACGCAGGGCGGTGCACGCTCGGAGCGGTGCCTTCCTGCTCGGCCGTCTTAGATGCAGGAGAGCCCAGAATCGAATCGATAAGTCGAATCGGCGATCGAAATTAATCGGATCGGCGGAAATCGGCAGCCAAGTCGGAAGGAATCGAATCGGCTGAAATCGGCAGGCTTGTACGCATCCAGTGAGAAATCGGAACCCAAATCGGAATCCAAAGTCGAATCGAATCGGAATCGGAATCCATCGAAATCGAATCGAATCGAATCGGGGCAATCGAAATGAGCCCTGTAGATGTGGGGTGTGCGGCCTGCGTCGCGGGGCCGGGCCCGCATATCAGGACAATCGCGTATGGTCTTAAGTCGGGCCGGTCCCCCTACAGGGGGATTTTCGACGAAAAATAAAACATGCCCCCAACATAATCAAGCAATAGTCCACACATAGTCTGTGGAGTATTTTTTAGCATTGTTGGACCTTTTTGGGGCATTTTTGGGTACTTTTTATTTTTCGTCCAAAGCCCCCTCTGTAGGGGGACAGGCCCGACATAAGCATATCAGGACAATCGCGTATGGTCATGGCCGACGTCTCCAAACCATGGGGGCGCAGCCACATGCACCCACCTCTGCGCACAGTGTGGGCTCGCTGGGCAACACCGGTGTCGCTAACAAAAACTCTCAAGTGGCTCAGGACGCGTGCAAGGCATACGTAGCAAGTCGTCCTGAGTTGTTCCGGGTGTGAGGTACGAAGTAGGTGTGAAACCGGGTGAGGGACATGGTACGGGGCTTGGCTGCGCGTCGCCATGTGAGCGAAAGCACCTTGTGTCGCGCTTGACAGCACGAGGGAGCAGTGGCTGCGAACGGAAAGACACACCACATCAAACTGGGGGGATATTGCTAAGAGCAGGGGAAGCCACCATGTCCAGGGGGGACCTGTTGACCAGGGGTCCCGAAGATGCAACTGCCAACGATGGAGTGTGAGGTTTGGCTGGCCAGTGGATTCTCCTGTAGCTCCCATGAGGCCGGGCATACGGCGGCGTGAACGGAGATCAGGGAGCAGGCGAGAAGAAGAGAGAAGCGAAGGAGAGCACAGGCGAGGGAAGAGCAACTGGGCCACAGGGGGGGGAGATGTGCGGGGAAGATTGGGGGGGAACGCGAGGGAGACGAGGATGGGGGACGTCAAGCTCCGACGTCTGGGCACGGCCAAGATGGGGGTGGCCACGGAGCTGCTCCTCCCGCCCGCTCTGGCAGCAGGCTCCGGGCTGCGCACGTACAGCCTCCGCCCCACCCTGAGATCGGACGTAGCAAACAACAGGGGCTCCCAACTTCGCGCTTCGGGCTGCGCGAAGCGCGAACAACTTCGCGCTCTCGCGCCGCCCCCAAAGGGGAAGAGAGGAGGACGAGGAGGGGGAGGAGGAACGAGGCCCGCGAAGCGCGAAGCGCGACTCACTTCGCGCCCTCGTGGGAGCCCTTGAGAAAAGCTGCAGCACCGTGAGAAAATCACGCCCAGAGCCCTGGGCCCCCTCCCTCTGCGCCATCCTTCGAGCCGGGTCGATCCGTGAGGGTCCAGGGGCCCGAGAGAAGGCTCCTCCTCCTCCTCCTCCTCCTCCTCCTCCTCCTCCCCTTCCCAGTTTCCTGCCGCTGAACACGCCCGGCTCGAAAAACTGAGACGCAGGATCTCAGGGCGGGCAGTCCTGGCTGGCCTCAACCGGCCCCCCGAACAGTGCGGGGCGGTCTCGACAGCCCAACCTGAGACGAAACCAACACGAGGACGCAATCTGGCGAGGACAAGTCGGAAATCTTTGAGATCCGGCGGCTCTGACGGATGTCTCGGGCGCCGCGGCCTTCCCAGAGCGTTCTGGAACGGAGTTGTCCTCGTCCTAGCCTAGGTCGGGCATGTCCCTGTACAGGCGGACTTGGGAAGAAAACTTGAAAATGGCCAACACATGAACAATCATAGCGAGAAGAGCACGACAAATCGTCCCCATAAATTTGTTTTTAAACTATTTGGGAATGTTCCTGACGTGCTCGACTTAATCCTAGCCCCGTCCGACCAGACCCGGCGCCAGCGCACCGGGGCGCAACCGCAAGCGGCGCTGCAGGGTGAGACCGCCCCGGACTGCTCGCGGTGCCAGCTGGGGGCGCTGTCTGTACGCCGCCCGAAGCCTTACACCATCCTGCCTGCCCTTTCCTGCCCTCCTTTCCAGCCCTTCGTCCTCCCATTCTTGTTCCTTGTCCTCGTCCTTATCCTTTCTCTCTTCTCCTTCAAGCCCTTTTTCCTTCCATTATGTTCCTTGTCCTTGTCCTTATCCTTTTTCTCTTCTCCTCCCTGCCAGTCACCCCAAAAGGGAGGAGAGGGAGGGCGCCGTCTGACAGCTCGGTGGAGAAGCGGTCCATGACGGTGCAGAACTCCGTGGCCTCGCCCAGAGGGCCGGGGGAGCGCCGAGCTCGCGGAAGGGTAGGGGGGGGGAGGAGTAGGAGTAGGAGTAGGAGTAGGAGTAGGAGTAGGAGTAGGAGTAGGAGTAGGAGTAGGAGTAGGAGGAGGAGGAGGAGGAGGAGGAGGAGGAGGAGGAGGAGGAGGAGGAGGAGGCCGAGGAGGAGGACCAATGGAAACCCAAAAAGCATTCACGATGTTGCAGCAAAACCTCCCTCCCACTTCCCTCTTCGTAACATGAAGGGGCCCAGCCGAACCGAGAACCGATAATCGACAACCGTTAACCGAACGGAGCCGATCTGGGCCAAGACAGTGAACTCACAAACCGACCCGGACCGAACCGAACTGTCGCAGAACCGAACCAATTGGGACCGAGCTGGGCCAGACCGAGCCAGAACTGGACGCCCCCTCCACCGAACCGACAGGAACCGAACCAGACGCCGCCCCGCCCCATACAAAACTGACACCCCCTGCAGGGACCCCTGCAGGGGGTGTCAGATTTGGGAAGGGGGGGGGCCCAGGGGCTGACACCCCCTGCAGAAGAGGTCATGACCTCACTTTTAAGCCCTCCCCCGGCCCGCCCCAACCCCCCACTGGACTCCCGTGGGCCCCCCATGGACCCTCCCAAACCCGCCTGACCTCTCCAAGCCCCCCACCCCGGACCCCCCCGGGGACCCGGGCGGACCCGCCCGGCCGTACATACCGACCGTCACCAGCACCGCGTGCTCCTGCCACCATCCGCCGAGTGCTGGTTGGCAGTAGTATCGACCCGGTCGACCTGGATCAAGATGGCGAGCGGGAATGAGATCGAAAACGGTGAAAAATATTAGAGCTCGAACGAACTGTTGAATCTCGAAAAAAAAACGATGTTGAACCGACCCAAATTATGCAGAACTTCCGTCGAGATTGGTCGAGCTGACCGTGCCACGGGGCACGGAGTGGGCGCGCCCTCGGGTCCTGCGCCTTCTCCTCGAAGCCGCAATCTCCACCCCTGGGGGCCCAGACCCCGCGTTGCGAGATCTGGCCCCGGAGGCCCCCGCGGCCCCTGGGGCCCAAACCCTAAACCCTAAGAACTAAGAGCCTATGAATAGTTTAGTCCTGGAGCTCTCACGACCGCCCTTCGGCGCCCCTTTATGCCGCCCCCCATTTCGGCGCACCCCTCACGCGGATTCTTGGCCTCGGAATGCCAGGAGTGGCGTTCTGGGAGGAGATGCTGGCATCGGAATGCCAGACATGGCGTCGTTAGTCCTTTGCGAAAGGTGCGGGCGCGACCTCGACCCTTTCGGGTTGAGCGCCGCCCCCATGCCCTTCCCCAGGGGCCGCCCCGTGGAGGCTGGAGATGGCCCGCTGGGTTTCCGAGCGGCCATGGCCGCCCCGTCGCGCTGACACTCCGCGGCGCGCTCAAGCGCCACGGAACCAGCGCGGCAGGACGACCACGGCCGCCCAGAAGCCCCCCTCCTTCGGGAGCCTCTCGCCGAGAAGCCCCCGGAGGAAGGCGCAGCTGCGCCTCGTCGGCGCTTTTCTGGGGGCGCCGCGGTGGGCGGCGGTGGTGAACGGCGCAAGCCGGGACTCAACGCATCGCTACGATTCCGCCGTGACGCGGTGGAGGGCTCGGCCCAGCGCCAGCGACACGGTGTGGAGACAACACCGTCGTCGTTTTGAGATCAACATGTCTTGGGTCATGGGTGGGTGGGACACGCCCAACAGGCTGCGAGTCTAAGAGACCCTAAACCCTAAATTCTTAATCCTATAATTACTAAGCCCCGAGCGCCGAAAAACTCTGCACATGCGGGCACATACGGGTACATACGGTCACATACGACCCCGCATGTAAACCGGCACCAGCCCTTGCAAAAAAAACATTCTTTCCTGATCATGCGTGCATAATCCACTGCAATTTACAATGCAAATGCGCGTCCGCGGACGTAAACCCTAGCCATCCCTCTGGAAATAAAAAGGATTTCCTGATCATGCGTGCATAATGCGTTGCGATTCACAATACAAATGCGCGTCCGCGGACGTCAACCCTCGCCATCCCTTGCAAAAATTCGCCGGCCCAGCGGGCCAGAGGCGTGCTAAGATCTCCGGCAACTGCTAAATAATACTTCTACTTCGCGCGCGCGGGGCGGCCCGTGGGGGTCTCCGGACGAAAAGTACCCCGGGCGATCCCCGGCAGACTCGGGTCAGACATGGTTTTCCTCCTGGGCGCCGCCCCCGTGGCCCTCCAGGGAGCCCCAAGAAGGGCCACGAGGCCGCCAAGAGCCCTCCAAGATGGTTCAAGAGTTTTCCGAGATGCCACACGATCGTTCCAAGACGCCCAAGATGGCCCCCAGACGCCCCAAGAGGCCTCCAAGAGCACTCCCCAGAGAGCCCCAAGAGGCAAAATTCATTATTTTTCCTTAGGTTTTGGGCAGATTTTGGCGTATCCATCTTTTCGGCTTCCCGACGCCCCAAGACGGCCCAAGAGGCCCCCAAGATCGCCCCAAGAGGGCCCAAGAAGCTCCCAAAAAGGCCTCAAGATGGCCCAAGAGGGCTCCAAGACGGCCCCAGAGGCATCCAAGACGGCCCAAGAGGGGCCCAAGAGGGCCCCAAGCGATGCCCCAAAGGGGGAGCACAAAACAAAACTTCGAACCCTCGGCCTTAAGAAGCCCCCAGGAGGCCTCAAGAGGCCCCTGAGAGGCCCCAAAAGCCCCCAAGAGGCCCTCAGGAGGCCCCCAAGCGACGCTGAAGAGGCCCCCCAGCGGCCCCAACAGGCTGAGTCATGCGAAATGGGCCGGCGGAGTGAGCGAAGCGATTCAATAAAATGTTCAGAGTGTGCGCTCATACATCTATGAGACTTTCCTTACCAAGTGCGCCGCTGTCGCAGAATCCTATTTTTACAACATGACTTCCATGACGTTTCAGGCGCTCACAACGCTCCCAGGCGCTCCGAAGCGCTCCAGGCGCTCCCAAGCGCTCCCAGGCGCCCCCAAGCGCTCCCAGGCGCTTCCAAGCGTCCCAGGCGCTCCCAAGCGCTCCCAGCGCTCCCAGGCGCTCCCATGCGCTTCCAAGCGCTCCCATTCGTTGTACGTGCAACGAGGGGAGAGATGATCTTTATGGTCGGGTGGTTTGCGGGTGGGACTGGCAGCCACCGCAGGTGGGCTCCTAGGCAGGAGGGGATCAGCTGCGGCAGAGCTTGTAGACCCTAAACCCTTGACCCAAACCGCGGTTCCCGGAAGTGTTGTCGCAGAACATGTTTTCCAGGGCCAAGAGAAGGCCCCAGATCGGCCCCAGAGAGCCCCTTCTGAGGCCCCCAAGACGGCCCAAGATAATCCCGAGACGCCCAAAGATCGGCCCAAGACGCCCAAGATGGCTTCAGGATGTCCCTAGGAGCTTCCAAGACGACCCAAGAGGCCCCCAAATGGCCTCCCAAGAGGCACAAATCAATGAGATTGATGGGTATAGGCGTTCTCGCCTTTTCGGCTTTCCAGCGCTCCAAAACGGCACAAAAGGCCCCCAAGACAACCACAAAACTGCACAAGTGGCCTCCAACAGGGCCCCAAGACGGCCTAAGAGCGCCCCAAGACGGCCCAAGAGGCGCCCAAGACGGCCCAAGAGGGCCCAAGAGGGCCCCAAGACGGCCCCAAAAGAAGACTCAGAGAGAGAACACGAACCGAAAATCCAAGTCTTCCGCCCCACGAGCCGTCCAGGAGGCCCCAAGAGGCAGGAGACCCCAAGAGGCCCCCAAGAGGCCCCCAAGAGGCCCAAAAGAGCCCCCCAAAGGCCCCCAAACAGCCCCCAAGACGCCTCCGAACTGCCTCCAAGAGGCCCTCGAGAGGCCTCCCACGAGATCCGAACGAACATTCAATAAGCTGCGTACCCACAGCCCAGGCACGGTGGCAGGATAGGCCGAAGGTCATTCGATCGGCCGCCCCCTTTTGATTTATCAGAGAAAGCGTGCTCCACCACCGCCGCTTTGCTGTGGAAAATTGGCAACCTTTTCCTCCGGAGCCCGGGGGTCGCCCCCCCCCCCCCCTCCGAAAATCCCCCCCCCCCCCGGCTGGGACCCCCCCCCCCTCCTCCCCCAGCAAAACCCCCCCCCCCCTCCCTAACCCTCCCCCCCCCCCCTCCCCCTCGAAAGCCGGGGGGGGTCACTACCGGTTCGAACCCACTCCCCCCCCCCCCCCCTCCGGATCTGGAAAACCAAGGGGGGTCACCACCGGTTCGAACCCCCCCCCTCGAAAACCGGAGGGGGGTCACTACCGGTTCGACCCCCCCCCCCCACGCACCGCCAGCAAACGACTCCCGGTCCCTACCACCGTCCGCATCACATCCCCCACTGTTGTTCCCAGCACCACTGTCCTCACCACCACTGTCCCCACTGGTTCCACCACCGTCCCTACTGTCCCCACCAGTGCCCCCACCACTGTCGCACTGTCCCCACTGTCCCCACCACTGTTCCCACCACGGTTCCACTCTCCCCACTGTCTCCACGGCCCCAACCACTGCCCGACTATCCCCACTGTCCCCACTGTCCCACTGACTCCTCCGCTGTCCCACTGAGCTGTCCCACTGTTCCCACCACTGTCCCCACTGTCCCCACCACTGTCCCCACTGTACCTCTGTCCCATTGTCCCACCGCCGTCCTCGCCACCGCCTTCACCACTGTCCCCACCACCATTGTACCCTCCACTGTCCCACTGTTTCCACCTCATTCCCACTGTCCCCACACCACTGTCCCCACCACCACCGTCCCCACCACTGTCCACTGTCCCCCCTGTTCCCACCATTGTCCCCACCACTGTCCCCACCACTACCGTCCCCACCACTGTCCCACTGTCCCACTGTCCCCACCACTGTCCCGCTGTCCCCTCACCACTGTCCCCACCAACACCGTCGTCCTCACCACTGTCCGCACCCCCACTCGGTTTTCGAGGGGGGGGGGGGGGGGTTCGAACCGTAGTGACCCCCCCCCGGTTCGAACCGGTAGTACCCCCCCCCTTTT